AACCACCTGGCCATGCCGGGCCCCCGGGGGACTGGCTAGAGACGTTCTCGCAACAAGTCTTTTTATATGTTTTCTGCTCTCTCTCCTATATACAACATAAAGTTTTACCATGACATTAATCCAGCTTCTGCTTAAGGAAGATTGGAGCTTATTGGAACTGAAGCTACCCAAAAATGTGACTAAGCCTACCCTGTTGTCCCCGCACACAACGAAAAGTACTTACTGTCAAGAGCTGGTTCACTTCCTGAGTATTACAGTACGTGTGCTCACAACACGTAGAACGCATCCATTTACTTTTTGTCTAGCTCGCTTCATCTCCCTTACTAACTATTCTAAAAAAATGTATTGTTTGGTCGGAAACTTAGACATTTTATTAGGCCTGAGGGTGATAAGTAGTGTCAGTAATTGTAGCTTTATATTTTATTATACAATTATAAGTGTACTACTTTTCCCTTCTGTCTGCAATTTATGATATTAAAAAATGTGAATTTCAGTATTTTTTTTTCTGCTTTTTGGTAGAACTTAAAGCAGCGTTTGTACTTATGGACAAGAACCATGACGGTAGGGTAAACGCTAGTGAACTGAAGGCTATGCTCGAAAGTCTGGGAATTCTTTTGACGGACAATATGATACGACGCGTGCTTTATCAAGTTAACATGCGAGGTTAGTAACTTTACTTTTATGTTATATATGTCATATAAAACGCATGTATTTTCTGAAAAAGAAAATCAGTGGAAATATATATATATAGCGTTAGTACAGGAATCGTCAAAGCAGAGAATATTTTAATTATTTGATTAAAAGGTCGTATGACTATAATCATTTCATAGAAAAACAAAAATATTATTGCAGGCCCGTCTGCAGGATTTTTTGGGAGGGGGTTACTAAAATTGAGATTTGCCTGAGTGTATTCTGGTCGCCTAGCGCAGCGAGGCTACCACCTTAGGGGGGGGGGTCATCCTCCGGAAAATTAAAAAAATCTGGAGATCAAAACTATGTGAAACAAATGGCCAAAAATGTAAAGTTATATTTTTCTGCAACCTTGACCTCACCTCATATTACATAATGTCAGTATTTCATTAACAAGAATATGTATACAAAGTTTCAACTACACCCATGCAAAAATAGGCAAGAATAGTGCTAAAAATGTACACTTTCATATATTTTATTTTCTGTAACTTTGACAATTTCATTTCCTGAAAATAGATTGTCCAGCTCAATCCTTCATGGATGAAAATTGGCTAATCGAGTTACAATTTTATCCGTGTTCATAGTCCGACTTTTTAAACACATTTTCTTTTTATTGTTTCCAAAAAAAAGGCTCATTATTTAAAAATAATTTTCTCGTTTCCATGTAAGACTACTTTTTTGTAAAATTAATGTTTTTTTGCGTAATAACCATTAAGGAAACAACGTGTACTCAGTCTATATTGGGCCAGCCAGTCGGCGATATAGCCCAAGTTAGACTGAGGTCTATTAGGCTAGATCTAGCCAGACTGCCTCGATTCTAGTAGAAATACTCTGGGCCTATATCTAGATCTAGTAGGCCTTGTTATACTTATTACGAAGTTTACTTCTTGAGTCAGAGGTCGCTGTATTTAACGGGTGTTAACAATGCAGTTACATGTATTAATTTACGTTATTAAAGATAGGGATGCGACCTCGGTATTCCCCGTTGTGCGCCCCCCCCCCATGCGGACGGGCCTATATTGTAATGTTGTTCTTTCTTTTTGGGTAAATTTCAAATTATCTGGTGAAAATAATGCAACGTTCAGTCCATTTAAACGAGAACAGTTTAACTTATTTCTTCTTTTAACGTTGGTACAAGCTCGAACATCTTTGTAACTTGTCAATTGTAGGCCTAAGTTTTCAGCCACTTTATTGTACTATAGAACATAAAAATCATCAGACTTGTACAAAGTAGCACGATAGCTAACACGTTCACACTAGAAACAACAACTCACTCACTTTATATTTAACATTAACTCATATTCACGAAAATTCGTTATCAAGAGTTGATTGGCCCACTGAGATACCGGGCAATTGCCTGATCGGCCAGATCATTTGACACTTTTTAGAAATTGATTTTAAATTTTAATTGTTTTACCATACTGGCTACACAATTAAAATTTCAAATCATTTTCTAAGAATGCGTGAAATATACCGATCTACCACTCAACTGCCCGCTGTCCCAGTGGGCCATCACACCTTTAATTTTATAGAAGTTCTAGGCCTCTCTTAACTTCCCGAACTTAACATTATCATCAACGATCCGCAGCTACTTCTAGCTAACAAACAAATTACATAAAAATATTAAAAACATATTTATGCACTTCAGGGATGTTGGGGAACGCTTTGAAGTCTTATAGAAACTTTGTTACGTTTGAAGTGGTCTATTGTAAAGTTATCTGAAGTTCTTTCTGTGTTTCTAGTTTATTTTTGAAGCTATCGAATGTATGACCCCCTCACTGTATGATTAAAAAAACTAATAAAACGTATGATAGTCATTTACTTATATCAATCTCAACAAGTGGGCTCAGAAATCTTTATATGAATCGTAATTCATGTTTTGGAAGCATTTCAAACATCCTTTATGATAAAATTGTGTTTTATTTTTAATTAAATTATCTTTCAAAGATGGCCAACGAAGATTGAGGTTATCTATGACTATGTATTAATTTGTGTTGTAGTGGCAATAATAGCGATATATTAACGAGTGTAAAACGTCAGTAATCCTTTAAAAGTACAGATAAAAATAGATTCACATACGGCGTGACATAGGTAGTTTTATTAATAATTATGAAAATGTTACGTTAACTGAGAATTTCATTGAAGTTGCTTGAGTACTTACACAAACTGGTAATTATTATTTTAGAAAGATTATATGAATTCTTCCAAAATCAAACTTTGATCTTATCAGGTTTGTTTTTATTGAACTAAACAAACTCAGGACGCATATTCAGTTGAATGATGATTAAAAAAAAAACTAAAACGTACTTCTCAAATATATGATGCTAATCCCAAACTACACAATGGATTATATGCGCCGTGGTCACCTCGGGTATCGAAATCCGATTTTTAGCGTTATAAGCTCTCAGACTTGCCCGACATGGCCAGGTGGTTAGGGCGCTTTACTCGCAATCTGAGTCCACCAAACATGCTCGCCCTTTCAGCCGTGGGGGCGTTATAACGTGACAGTCAATCCCACTATCCGTTGGTAAAAGAGTAGCCCAAGAGTTGGCGGTGGGTGGTGATGACTAGCTGCCTTCCCTCTAGTCTTACACTGCTAAATTAGGGACGGCTAGTGCAGATAGCCCTCGTGTAGCGTTGCGCGAAATTCAAAACAAACAAAGAGACAACCTAGTCTAATAGACTTTGATTCTTTAACATTCAAATTAACGATTTCCTTTCATACTGTATGTTACTGGTAGGATATACATGTTGAATAATATTAAGTTACTGATAGGATATACATTTTGAATAATATTAAGTAATTTTATGTTTTCTTTATTAAATATAAAGAACTGATCAAAAAAAGTTGGGTAAAATTACTCATTTTCTAAGTAAAAATACATAGGAGAATCCCAGTAGTAATAAGTGGTATTAACTGCAATATTGATAGTATTTGTTTTTCCATATTTTGTTAGGTATCATTTAAGCAACATTTTTATGGACTCCTAAGTAATTTAGTTCGTACTGAAATAGCTTAGGATTGATTATTAGTTACTGAAACTAATTCACACTTTTTTAAGAAGGCTTTACTTTTTTTTTTCTTAATCATTTTTGTTAGATGATGGGCTGATCAATGAAGAAGAATTCATGACCTGGATGGCAAGACTCCAAATATCAATGAAAGACGACGTCATGGAGGACTTACTAGCAGCGTTTAGAGTGTTTGACAAAGATAGAAATGGTTTTATAACAAGAGTATGCACACGATAAAGCGCATGTTTATTATATTTAGTATGATAAGGGACAAAGTTATATACATAATGATATCCGATTCACTTTTTCATAATAAAATAAATGTAAGAATTAATGCATGTATATTCAATTGTAAAGTAAGAAATGGGGTTATAGGTCAGTAATGTAAAATACACCAACGCAGTGCCAAACCCTTAATTATCATTATAAACCCAGGCGAAGGATACAGCTAGTAAATTCGTTTATATTAATATTTACAGCTGTTTTTTGTTCTTTTCTGATGAGTGAGTGAAATATTTTAGGCTTGAAACTTTGTATAATGGATGGCAACTGCCTGTTGTAGAGACACGAGTGTAGAGGACGACGTTTCGAAAGTCTTCCGCCTTTCGTCATCACTCGTGTCTCTACAACAGGTAGTTGCCATCCATTCTACAAAGTTTCATCATGAATACTCTGCCTAAACAATCTATCAAAGAATATGTATTTTAGGCTTATCATAACTCTCTACGATGCACTTGAGGTTCACATTAAAATTAATTAGATGAGATATTGACAGATTTTCAGTTGTTCATCATTTTGGTATGTACTGATAATCTTAAAATGATTAAAGTTAAAATCAATATTTCGAGAATCTGTAAAATGATACTGGGTTTATTCATAAATTTGCATTGTAAATGTTCTTTTATATGAGTGTGGAGAGACACCTAACGGTGGACCCTGCATATTCCACTTTCCGGCAAAGGTGGTTTCTCTAGTGTTTACCGTACTTTGATTTCATGTTTTCAAATTCAAAATTGATTTAATGATATTAATTGGATGAATGTATCCATAAGTACATTTGAAAAAAATATTATATAATGGTATTTTTAGAAGTATTAAGAATTCATATAACTAGCCATCTATCTGCCTATCTAGTTGTTCACAACATTTCCTATAATTCTGTCGTCCAGGACGAACTACGTGTTGCCATGGAAATGATAGGTGAGCCCCTATCGGATTTGCAGCTGGATGAACTTCTCAAAGTGACAGATGTAGACAACGACGGTAGGATAAACTATGAAGGTATGATGCAGTTATCTAAATCTTGTTAATTTAACTTCTATTTAATGTTAATATTTCTGTTTTTATACAGTTCAATATGGCTACGTAAAAGTGAATTTGGATGATGGGCACTGTTGTAAATTTCCTTGTCTTTTTTTCCACGTGTGATTGTTTTTAAAGACAATGTTTTAAAACACAATCATTAGCTAATGGCTCTATTTTAGGGATTTATAAGTCATATTGTACTGTTTAGAATAAACATCCGTAATAATAATAAATGCTTTCGCGTGTTCGATCAAAGTGACTCAGCTGTAGATTAATAATAGTATAATAACAAAACGTTCTCATGTTTGATGTGCTCCGGCTGTTGATTAGCATTAGTAATGAAAAAACGTTCTCATGTTTGATGTGCTCCGGCTGTTGATTAGCATTAGTAATGAAAAAAACGTTCTCATGTTTGATGTGCTCCGGCTGTTGATTAGCATTAGTAATGAAAAAACGTTCTCATGTTTGATGTGCTCCGGCTGTTGATTAGCATTAGTAATAAAAAAAAAACGTTCTCATGTTTGATGTACTCCGGCTGTTGATTAGCATTAGTATAAAAAAAAACGTTCTCATATTTGATGTACTCCAGCTGTTGATTAGCATTAGTAATAAAAAACTTTCTCATGTTTGATGTGCTCCGGCTGTTGATTTAGCATTAGTACTAAAAAAACCTTCTCATGTTCGATGTGCTCCGGCTGTTGATTAGCATTAGTAATAAAAAAAAACGTTCTCATTTTTGATGTGCTCCAGCTGTTGATTAGCATTAGTAATGAAAAAAACGTTCTCATGTTTGATGTGCTCCGGCTGTTGATTAGCATTAGTAATAAAAAAAAACGTCCTCATGTTTGATGTACTCCGGCTG